GGGGGAGATGGGGGCCACTGGGGGAGCAGGGCAGGGGGTGAGGGGAGGGTCTGGCTGTGGGGGAGATGGGATCACTGGGGGTGGAGGGAGGGTCCGACTGGGGGAGTTGGGGTCACAGGAGTGCAAGGGGGGGTCCGGCTGGGGGGAGGAGTGGGAGTGAGGCTGGGGGCGGGGTGTCTCATGGCTCAGAGTCCCGCAGCCTTTCAGCCCCCCCCCCCATGTCTGTCTCTAGGGCAGGAGCAGGCCCCAGGAGGGGGCACAGTCCGGCGCAGACTCCAGACCCCCAGCGACCCCTGGGACTCTCTGAACTCCGCCCTCGGACGACCCTGCGACCCCCAACCTCCCCGACCTCGGAGACCTGCAGCGCCCGCAGCCTGCCCCCCCATCTCCAGCCCCCTCCTCACCCCATGAGCCTGCCGAGGCCCCCCCCGCCGCCCCCCAGCCGCCCGGTGCACACGGCCCCCCTGGGGCTCTCCCGGATCCCGGGCGCCCCCTACGCAGTGGAGGTGCTGCAGGAGGGCTACAGCCGGGCGCTGCCGGACGGCTCCACCCAGGCCGACGGCTCCGTCACGCTGCTGCGGGGGCCCCGGCTCACCCTGGTGGACACGGGGGGGGCCCTGGGGGCGGGAGCGGCTGCTGGGGCTGCTGGCAGCCCAGGGGGTGCCCCGGGGGACATCTCCCACGTGGTCTGTACCCACGGCCACTCCGACCACGCCGGCAATCTCAACCTCTTCCCTGGGGCCACGCTGCTGGTGGGCTTCGACCTCAGCCAGGGGGAGGGGCTCTACCTGCCCCATGGCCTGGGGAGCGGTGCCCCCTACCCCATCGACCCGGGCCACGTGGAGGTGCTGCCCACGCCAGGCCACACGGCCGCCCACACCAGCGTGCTGGTGCGGGGCACGGCGCTGGGCACGGTGCTGGTGGCCGGGGACCTGTTCGAGCGGGAGGGGGACGAGGGCGCCTGGCAGGCTCTGAGCGAGGACCCGGCCCGGCAGGAGCGGAGCCGCCGGCAGGCGCTGGCCCTGGCCGATGTGGTGATCCCTGGCCACGGGCCCCCCTTCCGCGTGCTGCGGGTGGGGGGGGCCCCCTGCGACCCACTGAGCCCCAATTAAACAGAGCTCGGCCACCCCCAGCACTGCCTCTTATTGGGGGGTCATTCTGCAGGTCAGCCTGCCCCACCTACTCCACGGCGACAACACCCCGAGGGGAAGGGGGGGAGACAGAGCCAGGTGCTCCCAGACCCACCCACAGCCCCCACCCCCAATCTGCGGGGGAGGCCCAGGAGCACCCCTGGGTGCTGGGAAGGCAGCCATGGGCCCACCCCACGCGCAGGCCAGGCCCCTGTATGGTTTAACGGCCCTGTTTGTGTCACAGATACAGCCAGAGATAAGGGGGACAAAACCCCATTACTGACAGACGCCCTGCCCCCGAGGCAACCGCATCTCAGCGCTGGGCGAGCGGTCCTTGTGTAACCAGCCGCCCCGCCCCAGAGGTGGCCGCATCTCAGCGCTGGGTGAGCGGTCCCTGTGTAACCAGCCGCCCCGCCCCAGAGGTGGCCACATCTCAGCGCCGGGTGAGGGGTCCCTGTGTAACCAGCTGCCATGCCCAGAGGTGGCCGCATCGCCAGGCGAGGGTTCCCTGGGTAACCAGCCGCCCCGCCCCAGAGGTGGCCGCATCGCCGGGTGAGGGGTCCCTGGGTAACCAGCCGCCCCGCCCAAGAGGTGGCCGCATCGCCGGGTGAGCGGTCCCTGTGTAACCAGCTGCACCGCCCCAGAGGTGGGGGCATCTCAGCACCGGGCGAGGGGTCCCTGTGTCACCGGCCACCCCGCCCCAGAGGTGGGCGCATCTCCACAACGGGCGAGGGGTCCCCGGGTAACTGGCCGCTGTTTGAGCCTGGCCTTGGGGGTTCCCAGGCAGTGGCGCTGCCCGGGGTGCGTGTGTCACTCCTGATAGCGCCGATCGATGCCCTGAGCTATTAATGACCCTCGTGACGGTTTATGGCTCAAGGACGCGGGCAGCTGGCACCGCCTGGCACCACCCACGGCACCTGCGTGACGGATCCCAGCCCCACTGCACAGAGCGGGGGGGGTGTCAGGAAGTGTGGGGGAGTCAGGGCCCTGCACCCCCAATTCCTGCAATTCAAGCAGCCAGTAACACAGAAGGTTTATTAGACAACAGGAACATGGTCCCAAGCAGGACTTGTAGGTACAGAGACTGGACCCCTCAGCCTGATCCATCTTGGGGTGTGGGGAGCCCAGACCCCAGTGCTGGGCCTCCCCCCGTTTTCCCAGGCAGCTCCAAACTGACCCCCCCCAGCATCTCACCCCCTCCCCCTGGCCCCTCCTCTGGCCTCTGTCCAGTTTCCAGGCAAAGGGGTCACCTGGCCCCACCCCCATCGTCTGGCTCAGGTGTTGCCCCTCAAGTGACATCACCCCCTGATGTCCCATCCCCAGCTCAATCCGCCCCACTCCCTGCCCCGTCACAGGGGCTAGGAGCCAGGACTCCTGGGTTCTCTCCCTGGGGCTGGGAGGGGAG